GGAAGTCATTCACAACCAGAGCTACTGTATATGTAATTTCCCCATATGCTAAAGATATGGTTAAATGGTCTTTAGGATAAAATTGTTCAAAATTCTTTTCAGCTTTTTTTTTTGAAGGGGAGGGGGGTATACTGAATGGACCAACCTTACAACGTATGTCTTCCATTTATAAAATGAGTAAAGTATTTGTTAATCATTCAGAGCATCAAAATAAGCAGCCTAATTCAAAAAGCAAAGTATTATTTTAAAAAAGAGCATAGAACCTGGAGTCAGTTTGTCTTGGATATAATCACAGTCTGCTTCTTAGTGGATAATGACGAAGAGCAAGTACAAGTCAGGATCTACTTTGAAATTAAAGGCAAAGGGTGGAAAGCTACTATTATACCAATATAAAAACCCACAAACATTAGCAAATATCATTTTCTAAGTAAGAAGCAACCAAGGTAAAATATCTATAAATCACTAGTGTCTAAGACTAGAAAGTCCTAATTTAGTTAACATCCTGCCTGCCAACTTTAGAATTAAGGATTAGTGATAGCCTCAAAATACTGCAGGACTTTAGAATTAAGGGTTAGTGATAGCCTCAAAATACTACAGCACTTTTCTCACAAGTTTAACAGTACAAACCTCAGCTCCTACTGTGCTACAGCCTTCCCTCCCTGCCTCCCTCCCTTCCTTCCTTGGGCTTTTTTGAGACAAGGTCTCCCTCTAGCCAAAGCTGGCCTGGAACTCATTATGTAGACCAAGCTGGCCTTGAACTCAGAGACCCACCTGCATCTGCCTCCCTCCCAAGTGCTGGGACTACAAGTGTGTGCCACCACATCTGGCAAGTCCCATTTCTGTTTTTTTTCTTTTTTAAAAAATTTTATGCATATGTGTGTATTGCCTGCATGTAGGTAAGTACACGCATGTTGTGCAATGCCCGCCTGTACTTACCTGCATGGTAAGAGGTCAGAAGTAGCTGTCGGATCCCCGGGGACTGGAGTTACAGACAGTTAGCTGCCGTGTGGGTGCTGGGATTTGAACCTAGGTCTTTTGAAAGAACAACCAGTGTTCTTAACTGCTGAGCCATCTCTCCAGCCCCAAGTCCCATTTCTTAATATGAAGCTAAGAACTGAAGTTTTAATAGCAGTTTGTGGTCACCAAAGCAAGAGAATGAAATAATCCAAAGAAAACCATAAATTTTAGAAAAATAAGACAAGCCTGACATTTGAGTTTAATTCATCTTGGACATTAATTAAGACATGGTGAGTTTAGTTTCAAGATCTTCAAACACCTAATGAGAGAGTCAACTGTGCAAACAAGCAAGGATTCAAAAAGTAAAGCAAATATAAACTTATCTTTGAATCCAGAAAAAGACATAGTTACAGCAAACAGATGAATTTAAGGGAAGGAATGAACAAGATAATCTGAGTAGCCCAGGGAGGTGAGAAGAGAAAGGGCCAGAGGACCCAGATTTTAAAAGTAAACAGTGAAGTTGCAGATTGAAAACTCTGCAGCTTTTACAGCAAGACAAGAGAAGGAAAGGCATGCTACACAGCGAAAAGAACATAACTGAAGGCTCTGAGTCAAGGAAACAGTATGGCTCATTCAGTAAACTGCCCTCATTAGTACAACTGGAGCTTGAGATTTCTGGTAGGGAAAATGCAGATGAGCCGGATGGATGATGAAAGGCCTTGAAATGACAGACTAAATCCTGTAGGTAAAGAACAATCCTGTAGGCATAAACAGAAGCGCATTTTAGAAAAATTACCTTGGAAGTAGGATAAAGACAAGACTACAAAGGTCAAGTGTGGTGGCCATCACTTGAAATGACATCTACATCTCATTCTACATCCAGAGCTAAATACAGACAAAACATACTACACAGGTATTCTGTAAGAGTAAGAAATCAAACAGACATAAAAAACAAAGCTAAATGATTCAAAAGAAAAACACCTTCATGAACATATAGTCTAGAATTAAATACTTCTATTCTGTCTCTAAAAAGAGGCTTCTGAAATTAGATGTATATAAATTACATGGCGCTAGTTATATCCTGAGAAAATACACACACACTCACTCTTTTTGTTTGTGTAACAGTGCAAGATCTACAACATAAAAATGGATGCAGTGCAATCCCTGGACCTGATGTTTATACAGATTACTGACAGAGTTTCTCTCACATTAATTATTATATATATACATATAGATGGAATCTGAGGCCCTGAGAGACTATGGAATTATCAAAGGTCATACTCTTAGCAGTCCAGTGAAGACTAGAATGGTATCTTAGAATTTCCTTTCTAGAAATTGCTTTAGTATATCATATTTATGATTCAGAATTTTGAATGATAATTCAAAAGCCACTTTGGTACTGTCATTTTCAGCAGTGTAATAATGAAACTATAAAACTATTTTTATGGTTCACATGTCTCACGAGAAAAGCATACCTATTAAATGTGCGTATGTTTGACCAAAAACTTTCTAAAGTCAATGCCATAAGAACATTTACTCTCCCAACACAAAAACCATACCCTATCTTCATATAATTAAATACCCAACATCTTTAAATGTTTTAACATTTTTAACTCTAAGCCATTTCTTATTTTGTTATGTTCCCCACCTCACCTTGCCACCCCATAACTGTTAGGTAACTGAAATACCTTTTTTCTTCATTAGTTAAAAACAGGCATAAACTAGCAACACTGCTGAAAGTCTGTAAATCTTGTCTATTTCACAAATTTGCAGTGCTCAAAATGTTTCTACTTTTGGACTTATTTTTCACATAAGCATATCTGATCACTGAAATGGATTCAAATAGTATGGATTTAATGAGAATTAACCAGCTATCTATCACGCAACGGCCTCCTGAGGAAGCGTCCAAATGAGGGAAGTTTGATGAGTATCCTTTACACATTTCTTCATGCTCACACCCCAAAGGCATTTTTCAAAGAGGCAACACGTTTTTAACTACCAAACTCTACTGAACATAACGGAATCTTTTATTAATAATCATTGGAGGCAGAGAGCAAGCACTACATTGCTCAGTTCTTGGTTCTAACAACAGACAATTATTTTTCATTCAGAAAATTTTTTCCCAAAGCTGATTCCTAAAAACAGTGTATGCTTTTCCTTAGCAGCACCCCTACTTTATTTATCTGATGCCTTCCTCTTGACCGTAGGTTACATTATTATTGGACTATTCCTCCAATCGGTGTCCTAACACCTAGGAAATAATCAAATCATTGTTGGCAGGCCCATGCTTATTTAGAAGTCATAAAAGCTTAACATAAATAAATAAATAAATAAATAGCTTCTGAAATCAGCCCATTTTGTCATCTTTCAAAAATGGGAAAAAGATCTACTTGGTTTTTTGAGATATGGTTTCAACCAAATACTTGCTCGACTGATCTATTTTGATGATTACAAAGGCCAGTCAGGCAACTTTGGTGTGAGCAACTAAAACCGACCTTAAGCAACCCCCAAAGCATTAAATATCACTACAATACATTCTCTTATTTTATATTTTAAATAATTGCAAAATTCAAACCTTTAGTACCTTGTCCCTAATCTTTCTGATTAAAAACTTAACATGACATCTTTTTTCTTAAACTGCCAAGAAACTCCTTGCTTTGACATCTTCAGTTTGTCAGGGGTACAGGGTACAGGCTGCACTGCCTTCTGCAATGTTTGCTTAGACTAATGTGACATTTGTCTGTGTAGCCGGAAGAATTGTAAGACAACCACACAGACACCCTGACACACATTTTCAAACCACTCAGGCACATACACAGGAATCATTTTATTTAATTTCCACTTAAATCTAGACTAGTCATCAAAAAAAAACTGCAAGCTCCAAACTATTATAAAACCGCTAGGAAGGATTCTCTGAAAGCTCGACTCGCCATTCCTAACAGGTTGCAAGGACGCTTTCACAGAAATCTAGCTTGGAGACTTGCACCTTTTTAAGTCCCTCTCCACAAATGCTTTAGAGAGGAAAGGGAAGCCAGAAGACAAGTCCCTGCAACACCTGACCACTCAGGCAAGAATTCAGTACACTTTTAACAATGCAGGTCAGCAAACTACCAGACCTGAGTCTTCCCTGCCCTCAGGAGCTGTGTCCCCTCACCTGCCGACTCAAACATGCAGTCCACGCAGGGTGCCGATCCCTCGGATCTCAGTGCTCCCGGGACACCAGCGCGCCCTCAAAGGGATCCCAGGGCAGAGAAAAGAAAACTGAGGAACAAACCCACTCTCTCCAACTAGACAACGGTACCGATCCATCTTCCAACAAAGCAATGGATCAAATCTCACCTAGAGAGAGACCAGATCTAGAGCCCGGGAGGATGCTGAAAGCCACAGGAAGCCGACTGGGTGGTACCCGAAGCCACCAAAGCCCCGTCGGGCGCCCAGGAGACCCCAGAGCTCGCTGTACCGCGCCCACAGGGCGAGATTACTCGCCCCGACGCCCGGAAAAAGACGGGGGAGCATCGTGCCCAGTTACCGCCCCCCTCTGGGCGAAGCAGAAACCCCAAAACAGACGCTGGTCTCCTGCGTCCACGCTCCCACCCACACACCCACCCCAGCTCCAGGAGGAACAACCACAGCGCCCTCGCACCCTGTCCCCAGAACGCCGACACTCTCTCCGGCTTTACCCCGGGAACGCCAAAGACACCGCGCCCCGCTCGCAGGACTCCCAAGGCCCCCACGCGGTGACCCGGGACCTGGCTAAACTGCATCCCGAGTCCCCCAAAGCCCGGGGTCGCCAGACGTGGGAATCCCGTGATGCCACCACACGGGATCTCAGGACCCAGGAAAAGCTCCCGCGCCCCCGGAGCCCCGGGACACCCCCAAGCCCCGCCCCGTGGCGGACAGCCCCGCACTCCGAGCCCCGAGCCCGCCCCGCAGAGCAGCTCAGCCACGGAGCAGCCCCCGTCCGGAGCCCGCCGGCCCCGGCCGCTCCGTGTCGCCCCTCCCGCGACCGCTCCTCCGCCGGGACGCGCGCCGGGCACCCTCACCTGAGCCGCGTCGCAAGACAAGCAGACCCCTGAGGAAAACGGAAGCAGGCGGCGACCCAGGCCTGCGCTGCCGCAACTCCAGCTTCTCCGCGAGGAAGCGCTCGTGTGAGGAGAGCCCGCCCGCTCCGCTCGTTGCCGGAGAATCCAGCCGCCGCCGTGCCCGCCGCTCTTCCCGCGAGATCCCAGCCACGGCGGGGGCGGGGCCGTGGGGGGGCGGAGGCTCCTCGAGTGACAGCGCGGGAAGCCTGTCAGCGGTAGCGTGGGAGGTGGGGCCACAGCTAGGGGCGGTGCCACGTTGAGGGGCGGCTCCATGGTGGGGCGGAGGCTCCTCGAGTAACAGAGCTGGAAGCCTGTCAGCGGCGGCAGCGCGGGAGGCAGGACTCGTAGCCTCTGTGACCAATTGCAAAAGAGGAAAGGTAATTCGTCCCGCCCTTCATCGATAAATTGCGGGCAAAGCTGGCACTGACCCGAAGTATATGAGGGGTTGCGGCTATTTGATGCCAGGTAATTTTCATGACGTGGTTTGAGTAGGGTTTGGTCCTGTTCGGCCGCCGTAGATACACCTGGTTTGAAGAAGAAGCTGTACTTAACGTTGATGTAAAACTGAGGCGGTGTTACCTTTGGTTGCCCCGCAATCTGAAGTGAGCAGGGAGGTCCCATCGCTAGTTTGAAGACTTGCAGCCTCAGTTTACCTGCTTCTGTCCCTCCCCTTAAGGTAGATTTCCCCTCCCTTCCATTCCCACTTCAAACAGGGCGACATTGTTAAGGATACCCATGTTTTCCAAGCTCCAACCCCGGGACATCTGGTCTGACAAAGGATTCTTCAAGTTCGTTCTTGCATTTGTTTCTACTTAAAGTTTCCCAGAAGAGTAAAAACCGAAATCTCATTTGAGTCAGTAACATAACAAATTCCACAACTACATGAAAACTTGTTTCTTTGTGGAGCCTAGGGTCCATTAGTGTTTGGCATCCGTAGGGCACTGAGTGCAGATTGTGATACTTAAATACATGAAATCTGGACCCACCTCAGAAATTGTGCTTTCTTGGCCTTTATAATGACAGTCAATCCCTTCACACTTAAGTCCCTTTTCTCATTATTATGCCTACCCTGTAGCCTTCATTCATCTTCCCCTCTGTGTCTTGCCCAAAGCAAAAAGTACCCTTTCTCCTCATCAAGGTTAACCCCTGCACCTGTGGAGTGGCTCTCAGCCAGGCCCAGTTTCATCAGCTTTGCCCTTTATCAATTTCTAGCACCTTTCCCCCACAAACACACTCAATCTTCCCTATCCTTTGAACAGAACAAAACCACCCTGCCTATTCCACCCATTCAGGCTGCCCTGGGCCACCTGAGAATGCCGCTTCTTAAGAAACATTAAACTGTATTTTTTGTCTCCACTTGCTCTCATCTCTTATTTTTCCCACTACAATGTTGCTTTTGCCCACACAATGTGCTACTCCCTCAATGGTTTCAAAAGACCACTTTTCTACTGGACAAATGGTCTATTTGGGGATATCTCCCCCGCCCACCCCATGGCCTCTCTGAAGCCTATTGACAATGATAAGGGTGTCTTCCTTCACCACCTGCCTAACTATCTGCCTTTAATTCTCTAGCTACTTTTCTTTTTCAGTCCCCTCTCCTACTTTGAAAATGGTTGAATATTGATGTCTCCTTATCTTACAGCCACACCTTGTGCATAATAAGAAAAATGTCCACACACCACTGCACACTGTGAGTCCCACAAACTGGCTCAGACAAAAGCTGTTCGAAAAGTTCAGAGGGAAGGGATGCAGCTTTGAGGCTTGAGCTGGGTGGTAAAACAGTAAGTTAGCCCATATAAATGCAGGACAGAAAAGGAAGCCGCTCAGAGAGAAATATGAACCTGAGCACAGAGAAGAGCATTGTGAGCTGAGCCTGGCTGCAAACTGACCAGTTTGATAGATTCCTGTAGAAGTGAAGTGGGAGGCAAGATCAGAGAGAAACCAGAAGTCTTAAATACCAGGCCAAGCTTATGAAGTTGATTTTGTATTTAATGGGAAACCAGGACCAATCTGAATATTTGTAGGAAGCCGGGCATGGAAGTGCTCCTATCAAATGTCTAGCTTTGTAAAAATCATAAAGCAAGCTAGCAAACTACTAAGTTAAAAATAAATTCTTCTTCCTTGACAAACATACCATGTAAACAACTTGGATGACCATGTTGGAATTTAGAATTCTAGTAGGATGGGACTTCTCAGAAAAGCTTTTCTCCAATGTCTCCTGTAGTCTGTTGTAATAATTAGCATCAAGTATAAACTTGGTAGGCTCTAGAATTACCTAGGAGACAAGACTTTGGGCATGTCTGTGAGGATTTATATAGATTAGGTTAACTGAGGTGGGAAGACCCACCCTAAATGTAGACAGTGCCATTGCATGGGACGGGGTGCTAGGCTGAACAAAAGGAGAGAGCCAGCTGAGCACAACCATCATTGCTCTCTGCTTCCCAACTGTGGATGCCTCAAGCTTCTGCCACTGTGACTTCCCATCCATGATGGACTGTATTCTCAAACTGACGGTCAAAACAAACCCTTCCTTCCTTAAGTTTCATTTTCCAGGTACTTTGGTCCAGAAACATTCAGAGTAACTAATACACCAATTTAGGCCCACAGTACAAGGTACTGCCACTCTTTGGCCCCTCATGATCACATACCCAAGCTTTATTCCCAGTTTAACCACTCTAAAACAGTTGTGGACACCTCAGAAGTCCAGAGTTGAAACTGGAGAGATAGATCAGCAGGTAAAAGGCACTTGCCACAAGCCTGACAACCTGGGTTTGAGCTCCAGAACCACAGTGGAAAGACAGAACTGACTCCTCCAAGTTGTCCTCTTACCTTCACATGTGCCTAGACAAACACATTCACACACACATGCACATGCACACACATGTACACTAATAATAAATATAGTTTTAAAGCTTTAAAAAAAGTCTAGGGATCTATCTATCTATCTATCTATCTATATCTATCTATCATCTATCTATCTATCTATCTATCTATCTATCTATATCTCAAGATCTAGGGAGAAGCCCATATGGGCCTTGAAGTGGGCTCAGAGACATTTGGGTGGGGAACTCTGCCCCCTGGGTTCTTGGAGAGAGGTCAGCCATGGTACAGTGAACTGAAAACCTTTGTGAGTACATCCTTTGACTTAATGGATTCCTGTTCAGTGTGTAGGAGAACAACTGGAGAAAGGCCAAAACAGAACCCTTTTAAGGCAGGCCCCTTTAAATATAGGATTGGCAGAGCCAGGGAGTCACTTAGGAATGACAAGTGCTGTCAGTCTATATCTTGAAGTATAAATCCATGTATTTTTATGGTCCTACCAGCTTGGCCCTTGCTCTGTTGTCTTAGAGGCAGGAATGTACTGGAAAGAAATTCCACTCTTGACTTTACATCCATCCATATGGGCCACCTTCTCTCCAAAGCTTATCATTGCTATCATTCCATGCTTCTCTTAATAATTACTGGATCAGGAATCTGGTGAGAAAATAGTAACAATGTGTGCCTAACCTGAAAAAAGTTCAGAACGCCTGCATTTGACTTCTAAATAAAAACACTTTGGAAGTGAGAAGCTCCTGAAGAGGCCTCGAGTGAAGGGCACGCAGACAGGATGAGTGCTGCAAAGGCAGTAAGCCATCATAGACAGGGACACCTCTCTCACCATCTGTCTTTATTGCGTGACGCATCAGTCTGTGGTCTGACAGTCACGCTCTGTTCTCACAACCTCTCCATCTGGTACCAAGGGCTGCCTTCCTTCTGTTTTGCTCTCAGAGCCATCAAGGGGCCAGAGCCACCTTGGTCTCTCTGTTTAGAGATCAAAGCACAGAATTCCACTCAGGGATCCTGCACATTTTGCAATGGTGCTGAAAATTTTAGTGGGTGGCTTTGGCACCCGCTTGATCCTGTCACTGGGGTCAGCTCATAGCCTCGCCATCACCATCTGTGACTAGTCTTTGCCAACCGGCAACAGAACAGAACCAGCTTGCTTCTTTCTCAGGTCTTAAGATCTACTGCCTGTATCCTGACCTATTATTGGTCTAGGTGACTACAACTGAACAGTATCCTTTTTGGCAGTGAAGCCTTGCTGGTATCCCACTCTCTGAGCATATGCTGAGAATAGCCACCTCCTGGCCACCTCATCTTTACAAGGGCCACAGAAGACAGATTGCTTAAAAACTGGAAGAAGAAATCCAGTTCTCTCAGACCCAGCTGACACCCTTTCAGAGTCTGGAGTATTACCTCTTTGATTAGGTTGGAAGGCTGAACTACTGTGTGAAGTACCCCAACATTAAGAGAACAGTATTCACTGTCTGTTTATGGATCCCTAACCAAATCCTTGATTTTGTTTTGTTGTTGTTGTTTGCGTGTGATTGTTTATTTTACATAACTCAATGGGAGAGGGTGAATCAAGAGACTTGTAATGGTTTTTAAATATCTCAAGAAATGGAGCTTACTTCCCTTTCCCTCTGCATGAGCTAGACCAACCTACTCAAGGCTAGCAAGCAGAGAGCGGCAGAAATGAGAGCATGTGACTTCTGGGTCTGGGTTATAAGAGGCACAGCACCCTCTTCCTTGATCTCTTTCTTTTATCACATGGAGAAACCAGTCGCATAAGGACATGGGAGCAGAGGTCCACATGGCAATAGATTTGGCCTCCAGTTAACACCTGCATGAGTGAGCTAGCTGGGCAGCTCCAGCCCAGCCTAATGAATCTTTCAGATGACTACAGTCCCAGGCTCAGCCCAACCTCATGAGAAACCCTGAGCCAGAACCACCCAGGTAAGCCTCTCCTGGCTCCCACATAGACTATGTAAGATAATGCATGTCTAGTGTCTGAATACTCTTCATTCGGGATCATTTATTGTACAGTAAATAGCTAATACATGTTGAGAGTAGTTCAGTCTTCCCTGCACAAAAATCTAAAAGACATTAGCATTCCCTAAAGAACAAAGGACAATGGATCAGTAGCCATAACTCAGTGCATATTAAATGCAAGGGGCTCTATGCCAAGAGAAAGTAGAAGAAGCCATTTCTTGGTGGAAACAGAGAGTCCACTGCCTTAAGATTCAGGCTCTTAAGAATATTACAGCAATCAGAGACAACAGCAAGTGTGGATCCATTTGGAGGCAGTTAAT